GCCCTGGGGGCTACTACCTGTGTGGCTAATAGCACGGGGACAGCTAGCCACGGGAGCTGTTAGCCCAAATGTGCAGGTGGCCTGTGGGGAGCACCAGGACCCACTTTGCCACCCTGAGCATCTGGGGGCTGCACCCCCCGAGGTCTCCCCAAGCCACACACGTGGGGGGGGCTCTTTGTCGCTGTCAGGGCCTGGAGGATGCAGCTGCTGGAGCGGGGGGGTCCCATGTCTCGGCCACAGCGTGAGCTTGAGCAGGCCCAGGGTTGTTTGGAGAGGGTTTTGGGGGAAGGTCCATCCCAGATGATGGCTCCCGAAGGGAAGGAGGGCTGTATTCCAGGAGAAGAGGTGGTGTAGCCCGGTGGATGGGCTGACAGGTGAAGGTAGGCACCAGGACAGTGTGGGGACGTGGGGAAATGGCAACGTGGCTCTTCCCCATTCTCATGCCACCTGGGTTGCCAATGGCTTGGCACAAGCCAGGGGGACAATGGGGACCACCAGACTGCCCAGGGTGGCTCTGCAGGGAAGGCTGAAAGATGTTTCCCAAGGAAATGCCAATGTGCCCCGGCCCATCTGCCCCCATGTCCACCCTGGGGATCAGTGGCTCAATGCTCACCCCTTTGGATGCCCACCCCTTTGGATGCCCACCCCTTTGGATGCCCACCATGCCACCAGCAGCTGCTGCGGAAAGGTCTGGGGTGGGCTCCATAGGGCTCTCTGGGTGTGTTTGTCTGAGTTGGAAAGCAGGGAGCCTGCCCTTGGAGTGAGACAGGGCCGGGGGGGGACAAACATTGAGACAGCAGCTCTGCTCCAGCCCAAGTTGGGCACCCAAGTTGCGGTGGGCATCCCAAACCCCGGGGCTGCTGGGTGACAAGAGGTGCCCAGAGCATCTTCCCCCCCTTCCCCAGCTCCTGCAGGGCTCCCTGTGATGTCTGAAGGCACCAGGAGAATTTATGATGAGCGTTTTAATTTCCGAGGTGCATTTTATCCCGGTGGCCGGTGACTGGGGTGCGTGGGGGGGGGTGTGGGGGGGGCTCCCCGGGCTGGCAGGAGCCAACCCACTGTCACAGCCTGTGCCTCCCCCCTCGGCGCCGCTCGGCGCTCGCCGGCTGCACGATCACATGAGCCCCTTGTTCGGAGCCTTTGTCTCTCATCTCCTGCGCCGAGGAGCTGCGTTTCGGGAAGCCTCCGCCACCTCCAGCCGTGGACCACGCGGAGATGCTCAAATGGGATTATTTGTCCCCATTTATCCTCCCCCGGGGTGGGTTTGGAAAAGCCCTTCTGTGCTTGGCGATGCACAGAAACCCCCTGGTTCGTTTGAGGGAGATGAGCTGTATTAATTATTAACTGAATCAGCACTGGGTGATCAGTAGCTGCAAACCCTCCTCTTCACCCCGTCGCCATCAGCCCCCCCAAAAAAAGGATTTTTCCGGGGTCCCCATTCAAGGGAGGGGTTGGAGGGAGGGAGTTTGGTGCCAGCGGATTCTTCAGGGAGACTGACCCTGCGGAAGGAAAACCCCTCCAAAAAATGGCAGTGAATTTGAGGTGGCTCCAGGATTCGGGTTTCTAGGGCAGGGTTTGACTCGGCGCTGGGGGAGTCACATCTCCAGAGGCCACCTGGGGTTGGGGACAAGGGCAGGTCAGCAGCACCTGGGTGGGAGCATCATGCTCAGGGCTGCAGAACAGAGGGTCCTGGAGAATGAAAGCTGTTGGACACCATCCCACAGGAGGTGACAATTGACAGCAAAAGGGTACAGGTGCCACCAGCTCCCTGGAAACCATGGACTGGGCTGAGCGTAGGGCGATGCTAGGGTGCTGCCACCATATCTGCTGCCAAAAATGCACCCGCGTTGGGCAGCGTTGGTGGGGTGGCAAGACGGGCACGGGCGTGATGGCTCCAATGAGATGCACCCACATCTGCCAGTCCTCACCAGACCTGCCCCTTGGTATCCACTCAAAAAGGCGTTTTCCCAGCTTTTCTGGAGAAAAATGAGCTTAAAACACATTTATTGGGTACCACCTGCAGCCAGGGGACAGAGAGCACACCCAAGAGGGAGAGGAGGGAGGTTTCAGCAGGAGCTGTGGCATCTGAAGGGGTTTGACCCTGGAGCACCGGGAGCTCTGCCCCAGGAGCTGACAGCCCTGCCGTGATGATGCCAAGGGAGAATTTCCTGGTTTCTTGAAAAATCGACTTGAAAAAAATTGTCTGTGTTCCTACTGAGCTCTTGGCGCAGTGGTGTCCTGCTCCCTTATGGCCTCATCTGGAGGCAACCAGAGACCATTGGTCCCTGGAGGACCATCAGCAGGTCCTGGCGACAGTCGGTGGCATCGAGGATTGATCTGGAATCGGTGTTTCCAGCGGGGAATCGGGGTCCAAGGGGTGGTTTGCTCCAGCCTTGAGGACTCGTGCTTCCAGGCGATGCTCCAGGAGCACCGAAGCTCTGCAACTTCAGGGACGGCCACCAAAACGTGGTGGTGGCACATGGACACTGTACAAGGGGCTGAACAGGGCAGCCACAGCCCTCGACCCTTTTTAATGCTTTCTCCTTCAAGAGAAGATTCCTGGGACATTTTTCTCCTGGCAAAGCTCCATTTCCCCCCCTGATATAAAAAAACCAAGCCCCATCAAAGCTGCTGTGAACTTTCCATGTGGTGTTTACCCCCCACCCCAGCCGTGCTGCTTCCTGCAGACCGGGCAAACCAGCCCCCCCAAACCAGGGCTGAATTTCCCCTCCCAGGACACAATCAGCCCTTGGGGCTGCCCCAGACCCCTCCCCTCTGTTGCCTGACCCCCCCCCTCCAGTCCTGGCCACATCCAGCGGCGCCAGCAGAAGCTGAGAAAACAACAACTACAACAACCCAAAAAAACCCAAACCAATGCAACCCCCAAACAAAGCCTTAAGCCTGGGGGTGGCCGGAGAAATAATCCCCCATGGATTTTGTCCCCCCCTCCCTGCCCGCTGGGTTGCAATCCCAGCGCCGCCGGTTGCTGCAGTAACAGCTGCTGAACCCCCCCCCCCTTCACTGGGCTGAAGCCCCCGCTGTGCCTGGCCAGCTGGGAGCCGGGGAGGAGTGGAAAAGCTGGGAAAATGGGAAAATGCATCTCTTGAGCAGATGCCGAGGGGGAAGGTCCCGGGAGGGATGGAGGCGGCGGGGACCTTTGTGGCACCGAGCTCTTGGGGAAACATCAACCCTCAAACCAACTGCAGATGTGCTGGTTGGAGCCACTCTGAAGCCCTAACAACGACGATGATGATGATGATGGCGATGATGATGATGATGTGCCCAGGTGGCCAAGAAAGCCAACGGCATTCTGGCTTGTATTAGAAATAGTGTGACCAGCAGAAGTAGGGAGGTGATTGTGCCCCTGTACTCAGCACTGGTGAGGCCACACCTGGAGTGTTGTGTCCAGTTTTGGGCACCTCAATCCAAGAGAGATCTGGAGGTGCTGGAGCGAGTGCAGAGGAGGGCAACGGAGCTGGTGAGGGGGCTGGAAAACAAATCGTATGAGGAGCAGCTGAGGGAGTTGGGACTGTTTAGTGTGAGGAAGAGGAGGCTGAGGGGAGACCTCATCACTCTCTACAACTACGTGAAAGGACACTGTAGAGAGGTTGGTGCTGGTCTCTTCTCACAGGTAATTAACAATAGAACGAGAGGGAACGGCTTCAAGCTCCAACAGGGGAGGTTTAGATTGAACATTAGGAAGGAATTTTTCACTGAAAGAGTGGTCGGGCATTGGAACAGGCTGCCCAGGGAGGGGGTGGAGTCCCCGTCCCTGGAAGTGTTTAAGGGACATTTAGATGCAGTGCTGAGGGACATGGTGTAGGGGAGGACTTTGTAGAGTAGGGGAGATGGTTGGACTCGATGATCCCAAGGGTCTCTTCCAACCTCAATGATTCTATGATTCTATGATGATATTATTATTACTGCCATTATTATTATGAATTTTCTTTTTAACTTTGACACTAAGACCCCGTTGAGAAATCTCCCCCCAGTGAGGGAGGGACTTTGGGGATGCTTTTTACTGGGAGGCAGGGTTTGCCTTTTGCACGTCAAAGCCTTGGGTTCTGATGTAGCTTGTGTGAGGGGACCGTCGCCCATCAGCCAGGCATCAGGCCTTGTTGCTGATGCTCCTGGCCATTGATTGGGACCTGCTGCTGCTCCTGGCTGGAAAAACCTTCAAAATTGGGAGAAGCATCCACCGAGACCCCCCGCAGTGCAGTCAGGGGCAAGAAAGGCTGGAGCGTCTCCTGCAATCCCTGCTTTGGAGGGGCCAGGGCTGTGGGGAGGGGAGGTCCTGTGGTTTGGGGGGGCATTTTTTTACTATAGATGCTGTGGGCTGGCATCTGGTGATGTGTGGGGTGGGGTGGGCTGGACGGCAGCTGGGGGGACCTTTTGGAGGGGGGGTTGTGGATCACCCTTGGGGTGGGAGAAGGGAAGGGTTGGCAATGGCTCTGGCTTCAAAACCCTGGGGGGGAAGTGATGCCTTTGAGCGGCAGCTGGGGGGACCTTTTGGAGGGGGGGTTGTGGATCACCCTTGGGGTGGGAGAAGGGAAGGGTTGGCAATGGCTCTGGCTTCAAAACCCTGGGGGGGAAGTGATGCCTTTGAAGCTCATCGTCCCTGCAGAGATGCTGCAAAGCCCCTATGAAGCTGGGACCTCCTGTCAGGAGGTCCCTGGGTGGGAGGGTGAGTCCCATGGGACACCGAGGAGGAAGAGGAGGAGGAGGAGGAGGCAGCCAACTTTTCTCCATGCTGGGCTTTAACCTCTTGCCCTTGCACCTTGTGTAGCATCGTCGGGAGAAGACACCATCAGTGGTCTGTGTCTCGCCCCGTGCCCACCACCGGCCAGGCCATGAAGACGGAGAAGGACGAGGCTGTGCCCACCTTCTCCCTGGGGGGTAAATACACCGGAGAGGGGGCAGGTGAGTCCTGTGTGCCACGGCGGGGGGGTGGGTGAGAGGAGTCAGGGCAGGACAAGGGGGATGCTTCTCATGCTGTTGAGGGGTGAGGGGTCTGGAGCACAAGTCTTATGAGGAGAGGCTGAGGGAGCTGGGGTTATTCAGCCTGGAGAAAAGGAGGCTGAGGGGAGACCTTATTGCTCTCTACAACTCCCTGAAAGGAGGGTGTAGAGAGATGGGGGTCGGTCTCTTCTCCCAAGTTACAGGCGACAGGACCAGAGGAAATGGCCTCAAGTTGCGCCAGGGGAGGTTCAGGCTGGATATCAGGAAAAATTTTTTCACTGAAAGGGTTCTCAGCCCTTGGAATGGGGCTGCCCAGGGAGGTGGTTGAGGCCCCATCCCTGGAGGTGTTCAAAAGCCGGGTTGATGTAGTGCTGGGAGGTCTGGTTTAGTGATGGTGATGCTTCTTGTTTGTTGTGGGGGTGTCTATTTTTGTCAGTTGGGTTGACGGTTGGACAAACTGATCTTTAAGGTCCCTTCCCACCTAGAAGATTCTGTGATTCTGTTGGGTCCCTTTGACCAAATCCCACCCCAGAGGGGTGGCTGGGGGCACCCTGAGGTGGTGCCATCACCCAGTCAGGGATCACCCAGCACGTTCAGGACACCCATCAGGCTTTGCCTTCATTCCAGCAGCTTTTTCTGGAGCAAAGAGCCACCCTGAAGGGCTCCTGCCTCTCCTTCCAAGCCAGACACCCCCCACCCCGAGTTGCCTGCACCCCTCTTTGTAAGGGGTAGGAAGGTGGGGGCAAAGAGGGAGGTGTCAGGGGCTGTAAGGGGTTGGCACTGCTCTCTCTGGTACCCGCAGCCTAATGGCCTCTTCCCATCAGGCTGCAGCGAAGCGGCTCTTCCCGGCGGCCCGATGCCGGTGGCGGGGAGCGGAGGGACCCCAGCCCCGGAGCTGCGGCTGCTGAAACGGAGACCTGTCCCAGGTGAGCCCAGCCCTGCCCCGGGGAGGTGACAGCAAGAGCTGGGGCAGGGATGAGGCCAACCCATCTGTCTCCTTCCAGGGAAGCACTACCAGTGCTCGAGCTACGGCTGCAAACTGGCCTTCCCCAGCATGCAGGAGCTGATGGACCACCTGAAGGTCCACTACAGACCCACGCAGTCCCTCGAGGGTAAGGTCGGGATACCCTGGGTGGCTCCAGGGTGCCCTGGTTTTGGCTGGGAGGTGGCAAAGTGGGGCTCAAAGCTGAGGCAGCGCTGGTGGTGGTGCCTGTACCTCCAGGAGATGCTGTGGGGAGAGCGTGGGAGGTGCTGGAGACCCACTGGTGGGGAGACCAGGGGGATGTAGGGCAGCCGGGATCTTGCTGAATTTCTCCTCTATTTCTTTGCTCAGGCAAAACTTTCCATTGCCCCACACTGGGCTGCACGGAGACCTTCCCCAGCATGCAGGACCTCATGGCCCACATGAAGGTGCACTACAAGCCAAACCGCTACTTCAAGTGAGTCCCTATCCCTGGTCCCCATCCCGTGCCACACGGCCATCTTCCTGCTGACACCTCTTTCCTCTGAGGGTGGTGAGAGCCTGGCCCAGGTTGCCCAGAGGAGCACTGGAGTCCTCAGCACAGGAAGGACACGGAGCTGTTGGAGCGGGGCCAGAGGAGGCCCCGGAGATGCTGGGGGGGCTGGAGCCCCTCTGCTGGGAGGGGGGGCTGAGAGAGTTGGGGGGGTTCAGCCTGGAGAAGGGAAGGCTCCGGGGAGACCTTGGAGCCCCTTCCAGTCCCTAAAGAAGGGGGCCTCCAGG